CCTGAAGCAAGGTGCTTAAAATTTGGCCAGCTGAGTATCATCTCCTGTCATCACTTTCAGCACTAACTACAGCAGTTCCTGGAGGAGTTCCCCAAAGCAGCTCCATCTGTTTCCCTACCCTAAAACATCCCCTGACATTAGCAGTGACAGGTAGGACTGACAAGCATGTGGACAGGCATGAATGCTTTTCTAAAGATTTCTAAACTACCCCGAAGTTCTTTTACCACAACAGTGTTGCCGTCTATGACAGCTGACCTCAGACTTGGTTCTCTGAGCAGTGAGTTCAATTAGCTTTAATACTTTCAACATTTAAATAGTTAACAGTAAGCAAAGTTCTTTAGAAGCGTAGGGGGATGGCTACATGTGTGTCTGCTGAAGTTGTCAGGCAAGGATGGAAAAAAAAGAAAAAAAAATTTTAAAATCTCTAATTGCTTCCAGACAATGCCTTTTGGGTAGGGCTGCGAGAGAGCAAGGGGAGAGCTCGTGCTCTGACAGAGGGGCTGCTGAGCCAGAGGAGAGTTGGCTGCAGCCCTGACATCTCTCCAGTCCTGCCTGGTGACCCTCTCAGCACCAGTGGAAAAACTTTGCCCAACACAATCAAGCTCTCCAGCTCTCTGCAATGCCCCTGGATAACAGGAAGCTTGTGGAAAGTCAAATGTCCAGGGAAGTGTGCCTGCAGATCTGGGTCTACTGCTTCTGCTGAGTCTTACTTCTCAATCATGGCCTAGTCCTGTCACTGACTCATTCTCACTGCCTGTAAAATCTGAGATAAATCTGAGCTGTTGAGGGCTGGACTTTGGTAGCTAATTTGTTCAGGTCCTACAGTAGGAAGTGGCATTGTGTCATTGATATACAGATAAATTCCTGCAATTTTCAATGTATTCTTAGCTAGTAGTATAACTCTAATGCAAATCTTCCTGCTTTGCTATCTTCCATGTTCTTTTCTGGAGTTGGTTCATCTAGGTGTTAGCAGAAAATTGGATTCACATATTTTTTGCTGTAATTGGAAAACAGAAGCAGAAGGGGCTGGGAAAGATGGCAGCAGAGAGCACTGAGGAAACTTCACTGACTGCAAACAGCATCAACAATCAGTGCCAGAACTGAGGGAGGAGTAATAAGGTCATATATTCTGTGATGACAAGTGGGAGAGCTTCTACTTGAACTACCAGGACTCAGCTCAAGCAACTCCTGCCACTAGTCCAGCCCTGGCTATGATAAACCATCTTGAAAGGTGATTTTTCAGGAGAGCCTAATTTCTGAAGAAGCACAGAAAAAAAATTAGGTGTCACAAAATTTAGCTTTTACTAAATTCCAGAGAAGTGATAAACTGCTCTCCCAAACCTCCACAAGTTTCTGTGTTACTACAGTCCTGCCATTTATTCTGCTTTGGCTCAGCTTCAGACAATTCTTTATCAGACTTTTCTGATATTTAAATGCTAGGCATTAGAAATTCATCTTAACATGAAGATTTGAGCTTTGTTTATGGTGGCAAGAAGTGCTAGTATTTAGGTTATTTCTCTCTGGGAAAATCTGTATTGGTGCTTGTCAGCCCGTAATGAAGATATTAATTTTATTACTTATTTGAGTCTGATTGTGTCCAGTGGATGCTGTCCTGCACTGGTGTCTTTTGCTCTGTCAGAGTTATAAAAATCCAACTGTGGAGTTGAAACCACTTAAATATTTTATTACAGAAAATGTAGGCCCACCATGTAAGTTTAGCAGTCAAACTATATTTATATCTGTGCAAATATACATGCTCTTACAGACCCCAGGTTTTATCTTACCCTAACTAATATAGGAGTAAATGGTTGGATTGCAATGGGATTGTTAAGGGTATATATGAGCATCATTTTATATCAGGAGTTGAACAAGTCTCCAGTAAAGCAGTATTGTGCTTTCTTGCAGTTGGAAAGATCAGAGACTGTAATAAAAGGAGTCTGTGCAAATGGATGACCCTACCGGCAAAGAAATCCACAGGAACATCTTGTGTGAATTCATTGCTGCACGTTGACATCCAATGGAGAAATGGTCTCAGAAACCTCCTTTCATCATCTATACAGCAACCTGAGGCAGAGGCCCCTGAAAGTGATGTTGCTTAACCTGAAGTTTTGTCTTTCAGACGGATTTAAAGAATTTAAGGCACTGTCAACAGTTACTGCAGGGAAGGCAGTGGAGATTCAAGATATTGGTAAAGCACCACATTTCATCTGGAGCCTTCTCCACTCATGGCTGAGCTGGTGTAATTGAGTTTATGAGGAACCATCATCTGTTTCAGTCTAAAGTCAGCTGGGTTAATTTAAGGCAGGGCTGACTAGCTGGCAGGGGAGAGCACTTTAAACCTGCCCCAGCCATTACTGCTGCAGCCTGGCCCACTGCCAGCACCGAGTCTACGAGGAGTTGGAGTATATTTAGCTTCAGCTTATTCTCTGCCCCCTCAACTTACGTGCTGACCATGCCAGCTGTGACTCAAGCCTCCTTGGCCCCTTTTGCTGACATCCTCCAGCCTGGCTGCTGGTTTAGAGTCACGCTGTTTGCTGGCGTGGTGCTTATCTTCCACCGTGAAAATGCGACTGGGCAGCTGCCCTGCTCGGAGACTTTGGGCAAGCCTTTTAATCCCTCGTACTTAGTCTGCAGATCTGCAAAATAAAGGATTACTCCAAGAGTCCTGACAGGATGCTGTAAGATGTGATGCTGGATATTTGTGCACCACTCTGCTTTCTCTGTAGAAAAACGGAATGTGTTTAATATATAATATATCATCTATTTCTAACATTGGCAGAGCAAGTCAGTCAAGGACCTTGTGTTTATTACTCCAAGAAGGGATACAGCCCTGCTGTCATTACAAAAATGTTAGTTCTTACTGTATTCCTGGAAAAGTGCACCAGATTATAGTTTTCTCCACCAAACAAGCACTTTTTTTAATATTGGAAGCTACTTTTTCATCCATTCCAACTTTGACTTCAATTTTTTGTGGACAAAAAAATGTCAGGCAGCTTTATAGGATTTCCAGTTACAAATGATGCAAGCCTTAGCACATCTCATAGGCAAGGGAATATGATGTACTTTATGATCTGATAAAAGTAAACCTGAGGGAGCTATTCCTAAAACTGCCACTCAGGGTCAAGGATGAGATCACATCTGAGAAGGCAGCAGTGGTATCAAACACCTTTTGTAAAACAATGACATAAAGGGTTTTAGAAAGCTGGCCTGAACTCAGGGGTCTGAATTGGCTCCTAGTGTGCCTGTAATGCCCAGAAAATGTTTCATTCTTCTTCTTTTCTAGGAATAATTACTTCTTAATGACAGCAACAAGTGAATTTAGGTCCCTTGGTGTCCTCTGTGAGCTGATTATTATGTGCTCCCAATATTGCTCCCACAACCAGTGGAATTGAGGACCAAGAGTTTTTGTCAGGCAGACTTCACACCTTGGACATCTTTCTCACCCCATCATAGCAGCATCAACACCTTTTGGGCTGAGGTTCTTTACCTGCCATTCTTGGAGCTACCAGAAAGTTCATTTTCAGTGTGGTCTCATAGATTGACCCCTTTCTCTAGAGCAGGTTGTTCAGCTCCAAACAAACTCTGGCCTTGAACAGCTCCAGAGATGGAGCATCCACAGCTTCTCTGGGCAGCTTTCTTAGAAGCCCACTAAAGGCTGCAGGGAATTGTGCCCATGAAGGTGGGAAACGTTTCATTCCTGGGTGTGTGAGGTAATTTAGGTATTACCATGGTGCTGAAAACCAAATGTGCCTTATTTGAGGGACACCACCAAGGCTCTTCCTAGACAAGTGTAACTTTAGTGGTGCCTTACTCCTGCATTATCAGGAATAGCAAGGTCTGAGGTTTCCATTGCTGTGTCCTGAACTTTCATAAATAGAATGTGCAAACTCCCTGTTCCTTGTGTAGTGAAGTATCACGCTTGTGTCTTTAGTAAAAGTCCATCCCTTTACTTAAAGTCTTTGTGAAATAGAAGATTACAACTACTAGGGATTTGGTTCACTATCTAAGAAAAGAATGAAATTATTGACATAAGTTCAGAAAGAGAGAACTAAAAGGTTCATCGAAGAACTAAAGGGTGTTTAACAACATATGCAAAAAGTAGTCTAGAGACCAGGAGATGTGTATTTTCACTGTTTGATCTGCATGTGACATAATCTGACCTTTTGCAGATACAAGTGTATTAAACAGATTCTCATATAACCTGAAAATAGAGGAAGAGCATTTCTTAGTGCAGAGGGAAGGACATGAATATGTAGGGAAAATGGGGGGGTGGGAGTGTAGCCAAAAAAGTTGATTATCAACTTCACTTTTACTCTGAAGTGTATTACCAAGGCCTGTGCTCCTCCTCATGCTTTGCAGCTGGTATTTCTGCAGGTAAAGAATGTGTAAATTACAGCAATTCACACCAGTTTGGACACTGATCTAGCAACGTTAATTTAACAGGGCCACTCAAACCTCTGCCCACTTGTTGCAATTGGAGAGTGTTTAATTTGAACCCAGGTGTCCATTCCACTTGGCAATGATCTCAGATCCTAGCAGGAATACCCCACCCAACGCTGCCCCACCAATCTGAGCAGCCTTAGTGCTGTTTACCCAGCAGCATTGGGAAATGAAACACAACCTAACAAAAAACTGCTCCAGAGGAGCTGCTGAGAGGTGTGCTGTTCCTGATTGTCCTATTCTTTACTTCTGATTGGCCTGGGAATTGAACCTGACTGGTTGCTGCCTCCTGTTGTTTGTAATGCCTCTCACAGACCCTGGGTTCAGGTTTGTTTGATAAGCTGGGATCTGTAAAACTGCAGTCTAACAATTCCACCACTTGTTCTAATTTAGTGAGGGGTGAGAATTAACAGATGGTGTCATTATCAAAAGCTGTTCAAGTGTTGAAACAACATAAATTCCACAAATACAGAAAAACAAATATAAACTGCTGTAATTTTTCCAATATTGGTTGAATTATAATCACACTTTGCAGTTATACAGGGCTTTTTAATCCACAGCTTTTGAAGTGCTTCCAGATTGTACCTAAAGCTGAGCCTAGATCTGTGAGAGAGGAGGGTATAACGTTACCTGCTCTACTGAAGTTGGAGGTGGGGTGCTGAGTGTTAAAGGCTTACACTGGACATCTGCACAGGGGCTCTGGCTTCTTCACCTGGCTCTGCTGCTGTTCCAGATGAATGGGCCTGGGTAAGTGGTTTCACTTCTCAATAGCTGAATTTCTGTTTCTAAACAAGGAATGGTAATGCTTTGCCTCCTTTGGGAAGTGTTTTGTTTCCAGCAGATGAAAAGTGCTGTGTTGTAAAGTGTGGGTGTTGTTGATATCATCACTGTTGCAACTATTAAAGAGCAGAGGCTGGGAGGGCTTAATATTAAATACATGGTCTAGGTTTCCAGATGGACTGAGACTAGCAGGGTTCTGACTGAAGTTCTTCTAAAAGCTTGATTTTTTAAGAATCCCATAGTGAACGCTGTAAAACAAAAGTAAGGGTTTGCTGGTATGGTTTTTTCCCCCTCTCCTTTTTGTTATCTTTGGTAGTTATTTTAAGGTCTCAGGACCTTTCTATTTCAGCTTTCTGCATATTCCATCTTCACAGTATACCAGCCTTTGTCTTGACTGTGCTCCTGCAGGTGTGAGGGGCTCTGAAATTGAATTAGGCAAGTAATTGTACTGAGGAAAAAAGTTTGAAGGTTTGAGCTCACATTCTTGCACACCCTATTTTTGGACTTTGTTATGAACTCATGATTCAGGAATTAAGAAAAAACCAGATATAGGGAAGATGATCTCTTGTTAGTAAGTTGGGTGTAAAGACTGCATAACAATAGTAATAGATTTTATAAAAAAAAAGATTAGTCCATGATCATTGAATTTCAGGGTTGTGTGTTTCAGAAGATAATATTTATACTGTTGATTATATTTATCTTTTGGTTGGCCCAAAGGATTCAGTGGTGCTTTGTGATAGATGCCTTGAGGATCTGCATTTTCACAATACATGTGAGTAGAGAGGGAGGGAAGAAAGAAGGAAAAAAAGAGGGTGGAAAAAATCCCCAGCATTTTGGGAGAGGAAGGTCTCAGATTAATCATGGGAAGTTCTAGCCCAAAAAACAACTTAATGTATTTAAGATTCCCTTTCTCACATTAATGCATTCATATGAATATTGAACTGGGAGGGACCCTTTGCATCCTTTGCTAGATTTGTGTTGTGTATTTGTTCTCCATTCCATGAGCAAATATCATGGTACAGCTCATATCCATGCAGTCTTTACCTCCCACAAGAAGTCAGCAATGCTTGAGTGGCATCCTGGGAGCAAACCCTGGCCTGTGGCAGCCCCTGAACTCCACTTGGCCCTGGGTAAGGAAGGGAAGGAGGGAGCCAATCCATCCAGACCAGAAGTGGGCCAGAAAGTGCCATTTTAGCAAAAAAAAAGGACAGTGCTGGAGCCTACTGTAAGCCTGGCTGTGTTCACAGGCTATAGCTGGTGATTGTGTCCTATAAGCCATTCAAAATCCCTCTGAAGGGCTGGAGTCTGTGCTAATTTCTAGTTGTGCGATGGATGGATCTGTTTTGAACATACACATTTTTTAAAGAGACCACATTTCGCACATTTTTTTGAGTTGATTTTGTGCTGAAAGATGACTTCTCCTGCCAGAAGGTCCTGCTGGTGGCCTGATGATGGGGTAGGGGTGACAATGAAGGGGCAGAGTGGGGAGTGTTGCGTTGCCCTGTTGGGTTCTACATGGAAAAACCTGGTGGGGACTTAGTCCTGAGACTGAAAATTCTGTCATTTCCCTTTATACACCAGAATATTATGAATGGTGTTTATTTATTTATTCCTTTCATCTTAATCAGATAAAAAAAAAGACAGGACTACTTGAGACTTATCCAGCTTTGACAGCATTTGAGGATTTATAAATGTGGGTTTCGGCTGAGCTTGATGGAAGTTAGTGCAAACTGGCAAACCAGACTGGAGCCAACACAAGACAACCACAAATCTGGCAACAAATTACCACTGCCAGATGCCTTTGCTGTTCCTTTAGCTTTCTATGGATTTGAGCCACTTCTGTTTCTTTTTTCTTTTTTTTTTTTTTTAATTTTGGAAATACTCTCAAAGTAGAATGCAAGGGTTTGGGCTGCCTAGCCAAAGTTTAACCGTCCTTTTGCATCTCTGCTAAACTTCCTGTTTTCGGCAAAAACAATTTATTATCTTGCTGGTTCTTTAGACCTGAAAGGATCTGCAAATACAAAAAAACTTGTGGTGGTCTTTTGGGTTTTTTTCATGGCCTTTCAAAGAATAAACTCACTTGCTTCCTCTCAATGATGTGGTCTATGCTAGCAAAGAAAAGTACTTAACCTTTGAGCTACTAGCAAGATTCAGAAAATGTTTTAATTATGCAGAACTTCTGCACTCTGAACATTTTATCTACAGATAATTATTTTTTTCATATGCTAGAAATCTTTGTTTTCATGTGGTTGGGCAATAGCATCCCTTGGCCACATGCATTTTAAGGGAGTTTGGAGTGAGTTAAAATTGGAAATCTTTGTTCTAAAAATTTTCTAAGCCTTTCCTAAAGATTTATTCTTGGCAATCCATGGACATGTGGTAACAGAACAGAAAAATGTAAGACAGGTAGGCAGTAATTCTCCCTCTTATTGGCCAAATGAGATCTGAAGTAAGAAATTAGGCAGCAAAGTTATCCCTTGTCTTCATGGAGGGAGAGCAAGAAGTCACAAACCCAAGCTCTGCTGCAAAGTAGTTGGAGAAGAATTTCCTCTCTAAAAATAAAATATATGTAAGTTATCCAAAAAGGGAAAAAAACCCCAAAACCCCAAACTAGCAATCTGTGTCATTAGTCCCCAGTGCCTCTGCAGTGTAAGGGAATGGAACAAAAGCGTGTTTGCAAAACTGACGTTGGCAGGAGTAGGGCTGTGGAATGGGAGGTGGTAACTTGGCATTAGACAGCTCCATTTCTGTGTGCCTTCAAAACTTCCTGCTCATTACCTGCAACTGTTGGGAAGATGTTGAAGTCTATTTCTTGTGTTGTACTTCAAAGGTTTTGCAAATTCTTTGAAGGTGACTTAACAGCTATTAAATGATACTAAAGGAGGAAAAAAAATCGAAGTCTTTCCAAAGAAGAAGTTTAAAGGATGTGTTTAATATTAGTGTTGGAAATGTGCTATAAATCCTCGTAGTTTATGTGTGTCACCATCTCTGAGATGGCATTTATCACAGCAGAGGGAGAAGGAACAATTCACAGAGGAAAGAATCTTTCAAGAGTTTTATATGTTCCTCCCTATGTCACCAAAAAAAGGGAAAAGAAAGACATTTGAGCAGAAGCCCTCAGCAGCACAGAAACCCTTGAACAGTTGTAATGTCCAGGTTATATGATAGCAGGACACTCCTGCTGTTTTCCTTAAGGGAAACTGTACCTTTTGCCCTTTTTCAGCAGTTTGTTGTCTTTCATAAGGTAGTTATAAAACAGCAAGAAACTCCCCATGCCAAGTAATAGGATGAAGTGAAAAATGTAATTCAATATGTGGAAAAACTCCAAAGTTTGGATGATGAATATAAAACTTCAAATGCTCTTAACGGGGTGCTCTTCTGTTGATATTTTCTATTCTAGTTCTATCAATTAATTCATGCAGGAAATTCTAAGAAATGTTAGGAAGAGAAATGCGCTTGTGATTTATTAGTTGGAAAGATGTTTCTCTAGAGTCAGTTTTAGTTTCTTGACCCTCTGAAAACCCAAGCCAGGAGTTTTGTCAAGAGCTCCGTACTCATCCTTTCAAAAATGGAAGTGTTTAAAGGAGTGTTGCAAGTAATTTCTGATTCCACTAGCTTCAAATAAGTTAACTGCATTTAGCATCCTTACCTCTTAGCTTAATTTGTTAAATCAAGTTGCTTCTGAAATTTATAACAAAATTGGTTTTCTCTGGGGAAATAATTACTATTCCTCGTACTGGTGTGTGTGCAGATGTTTGTCAGCAGAAGAGTTGGAGTCGATGAGTTTAAAGGAAATGTTTTGTTCAGTAGCACTGAGCTGGTATCCTAACAAGAAGGGGAGCTGATCTATTGATTCTTGACTATAGGGTTGTGCCCTATTGATGGGAAATTCTGCTTTGATACAGTTTTCCTGCAAGTGAAACCTGACTGACCTGTAAGTGTCTGTAAATGAAGTAGGGCTGGTTCATTCTGGGCTTCCTGTGCACCTTGCCACAAGGTGGGGATGGGATTTTGGCCTTCAGGGCTATCACTTGATGGTCATCAAGGAAGGAAGAGGTGTTTAGTACATGACAAGGCTGAGCCTGTAGTAAAAACCTTCATTTTGATGGTTTTTAATAAAACCATTGCTCAAGAGAAAGGATTAAATTAGTGTGTGCACCTTGAAGAGGCTTTGACAGAGGGAAGTTCTGGCAGATGTGCCTGGCCTGAAACTGCATGGGCCCTCAAGGGGAAGGATTTTGGTGGTATGCTGGAATAGACAATCCCATCACCCACTGAGTTCTCATCCAATTGAGCCCCTGTCTTGGTACAGAGGTTGGGGATCAGAGAATTTCTCTAGGTTTGTTAGGAACATAAGGGTTTTTTTCCAAACTGGTAAAGGCACTTACTGGGGAATTTGGGAGGTTCCCCAGAACCTCCAGAACTGGAGCCAGGTGTTTCAGTCGATTCCATGCCTTATTTGTCTTGTCATTAACGGATGTAAAACTTCTAGCCTGGCCATGTGCAATACCAGGACAGGTACAAATGCAGGCAGAGCTTTCTGCAATATACTCTGAAGGAAATGGTTTGCATGGTTTTCCATCATCTGAGCTACTTGATGATGGATGTTTCTTTCCTCCTTAACCATGCCGCATATTATGGTTTTGGCTGAGAAGAAACTTTGCCCTGAATATTTTGATGTCTCAGTTCAGAAGTAGAAAGCCATACTGGGGACTTTCTTAGGTCTTCACTGGGTAAATTCATCAGTGAAAGGAGAGCCAGATAGATCTGAGTGATTGTCTGCTGCAATACGGCATCTTGCATTGCATGTATTGCAGGATGGGGAAAGGGTGTTGGTGGCTCATCAGCTCCTGGCTTCCCCATCTGCTGCAAGAAGCAGAAGAATAAAGTTTTGTCAAATGCACCAGTGGCTACAACTGACAGAAGCTGGAGCTTGCAAGGCTTATAATAAATACATGGGAAGCATG